AAAAAAAAAAAAAAGCTATGCCTTTTATGTGTGCGTTTGTCTACAAATTGCATGGAATGGTAGCTATACCAACTTTCAATCTCAAACTCCATAGATTTTCGCAATAACTAGGGATAGACACGAATGAAGTGAACTCGTGTGTGTTGCTCGTGCTCCGAGAGATGGTCGGTCGATTATTTTCAGGTACGGCGTGCTATTCACAATCATCATGTGATGCCGGTGTTTGGAGACCAGTCATTGATATAACATAGATAGCTCGGTTCTGAATCGGGGCTTTTGGTAGCTCAATTCTGGACCGGAGCTCTCTTAGCTCGACCTAGGTCTACAGGTCGGGAGCAAATTAGAAAATGGTCGACTTGAATTTTTGGCAGACAACATGGGGCGGATTGGGACTCTTCACTCTCATGCTAAGTCATGAGGCGTCACACGTGAATAAGATTGAAAGGATCCTGAGAATCTGGAGTAGACAGTGAAAACAGGCCGGAGGGGTTGGCCCACACAAACCCGCAAAAGCCCGCCTTTTGGTGAGGCGAGGCTGTTTGGCCCGCCATGCCGACGCGCCTGAGAAATGGTAGTCTGCTCCACCCCGTCGGCAGGCCGTGGGTTGGGCAGCCCAACCCCACCCAGTATGAAATGAAAAATAAAAAAAAAAAATTCACACATATATACACATGTGTGAAGATAATACAATAAATTTAATTTTAAATACATTTAGATACTTCTAATCTAATTAATAATCATTATTTTCTATTGAAAATGATTTTTTTTTTTTTTTCATAGAGTTTGAATTAACTTAATTCTCTATGTTTAATTGTTAAACCATGTAATTGACTTTTTTTTTAACAACTTTTTTACTATTGTTTGCAGATGGTTTGGTTGGGCATTTGACATATGATATTAAAATTTATAAATATATTTAGTAATTTTTAGTTATCTATCTAAGTAAATTATTTTAATTACATAATTTTTTTTCTATATCTATTTATTTTATGTGGATCAGCCCGCGGCCCGCCCTGCAGTCGCGCAGGCTGTCCTATAGGCCCACTCCCTATCGGGCCTAAAGAAAGGAAGCCCGCCCTATTCTCTAGCGGGTCAGTCCGCGGGCTTTGGCCTATCTTTGGCCATTCTAATATGGAGATATGGCAAGAGATCTCATTGAAGTATGAGGTATAATTGTTTTTCTTAGATAAATGTTAGGTACATAAGATTGTAAATAGGGGTGTACATAACCTCATATTGAGTGTGACCTATCAAAAATAAAAAAATTAAGTGAACCTCACTCAATGTGAGTGTTATGTATACTTATTATGAACTTGTAGCTTTTTTTTTTAATTATGCATTCTTATACTCTGAATATACTTGAGATCTTATCGAAATATAGTGACTGACTTGATTGATGGAGACTCGAACACTTTTTCATATTTTCAAACGAGAAGGATTTACGAGTTACGGATATACCGAAGGACCCGATAAAAGTCCCCACAAGCCCAAGCTACCCATAACTGGGCCGGGTCATGGTCGAAAAGTTGGCTCCACCAAAGAAAAATGCATTTCATAACACGAAAAAAAAAAAGAATCAGATAATTTCTTAATTAGCATTTTTGGATATTCTGACACTGCAATGAAATACTGTACAATTGCTAAAAGAATCAGATGTCAGCTAAATTTTGTACTTACAAGATCACACATACAAAAAATTTTTTTACACACACTATACAGGCAAAGGCTTCTGATGTTAGGTAAAATCGACAGGTTAATCGGCTTCTTTTTTTTTTTTAAATACATAAATGCTCTATTGCTGAAGCCAGTTCACAGTGCTTTAGTTGTGCTCGTTGTCAA